GTGGGCTCCATTGTCCTGTGCAGTGTCCCACAGTTGGGGTTTTTCTTTTTTTTTTTTTTTAATCCTCACCCGAGGACATTTTTCCATCTTTTGTACAGATAGAGTGGGAGGGAGAGAGAGGAAGAGAGAGAGAGAGAAACATCGACGTGAAAGGGACACATCAAGTGGCTGCCACCCGCACAACCAACCAGGGCCGGGGACAAACTGCAACCGAAGTACATGCCCTTAGCGGGAACCGAACCCGGGTCTCTCTGGACCGCAGGCCGACGCTCTAACCGCTGAGCCAAACTGGCCAGGGCAAGGGGTTTTTCTTTTTTTATGTTTTTATTGGTTTTTTTATTTAGAGAGGTAGGGAGAGGGAGAGAAACATCAACAGAGAGAAGTATCAACATTGATTGGCTGCTTCCTGTACGCCCCCTAGTGGGGATTGAGCCTGCATCTCCAGCATGTGCCCTGACCGGGAATCGAATCAGCAACCTCTTGGTGCATTGGTCGATGCTCAACCACCGATCCACACCGGCCGGGCCCACAGTTGGGGTTTTTAGAGTAACAGTTTTATTGAGATACATTCCATAGACCAAAAATTCACCCTTTAGGTATACAAAATAGTGTTTTTAGTACATTCACAGGGTTGTACAATCATTACCTCTATCTAATTCAGGAATGATCCATCACCCCTAAAAGGAAACCCCGTTCCCATCAGCAGTCACCCTCATTCTCTCTCTCAGCCCCTAATAACCATTAATATATTTTCTTTTTTTTTTTAAGATTAAAAAAATGTTTTTTTCTTTGTTGGTTTTAAAGAGAGAAGAAGGGAGAGGGAGAGAAGATAGAAATATCGATGAGAAAGAACATTGATTGGCCACTTCCTGCATGCCCTCCACTGGGGAGTTGGCCCATAACCTGGGCATGTGCCCTGATTGGGAACCTAACTGGTGACCTCTTGGTGCATGAGTTGACGCTCAGCCACTGAGCCACACCTATACTGGCCAGGCCATTAATGTACTTTCTGTCCTTGAAGTTATGCTTGTTCTGGACATTTCACATCAGTGGGATCACACACTATGTGGCCTTTTGTGTCTGGCTTCTCTGAGCATCATGTGTTCAGGGTTCATCTACATTGTAGCCTGTGTCAGTACTTCACTCCTCTTCATGGCTGAGTAATATTCCAGTGTGTGGATGAACCACAGTTTATCTGTTCATCAGCCAATGGACACTTGGGTTATTTTTACTTTTTTGTTATTGTTAGTAGGGCTACTGTGAAATTTCTGTTTTTGTTTTGTTTTGTTTTAGGGAGAGAGAGATAGAAACATCAATGAGAGAGAACATCGATTGGCCACCTTCTGCGTGCCCCCCACTAGGTATTGGGCCCACAACCTGGGTATGTGCCCTGACCGGGAATTGAACTGGCAACCCCTTGGTACCTGGGTCAACGCTCAACCACTGAGCCACACCAGCCAGGCTGTGTATTTTTGTGTGGATATGTGTTTTTGTTTCTTTTGAGGGTATATCCAGGAATGGCACTGCTAGGTGACAAAGTAACTATTTTAATTTTAACCTTCTGAAGAGCTGCCAGATTCTCCCACAGATTTTGAAGGCTGCATCCCCCTGCTGTCCTTCCTCGTGTTCTGTCCCCCCTCCCTGGTTCTGGCCCCTTGAGCCCCTGGCTGAGTGGCTCTTGGGGAGCACCTCGAACTTCCTGGCTCTCCTGGTTTCTACCCTGTCCCTGTCCTCTGTGCCCAGGCTTCTCTCTGTCCTCCTGTTTCCCATGCTGCTGTCTTGGCTTCTCTTGATATGGTTGGGGTGTAGCAGGCTTACTCCCTTGTCTGTTTGTAGCTGATTGAGGCCTGTAGATCACCCGCTGTTCTGAGTGACATCATTCTGGGTCGCAAATGAGCTTGTTCTTTGGGAAGCTGACAGTTGCCTGCTTACTCCTTGGTGAGTCTGGAAGGCAGTGCCTCAGATCAGGCTTTCCATTCTATAGTCCCACCTGTGGGTATGTTCACCCTCCTCAGAAACCATGATCCTCAGACTGGGGCCCCCCCACTTAATCAATCTCTTGTTCTAGGGCCCCAGATCTGATGGGAGATCTCCAGCAGACAGTGCCTCCTCCCCTCCCAAGGGCCTGAAGATGCTGCCTCCTCCCTACAGGACAGTGTCCAGCCGCCTTACCTGGCCCAGCCTTAGCTGCCTGTCCATTTTGATCCTCACCCGAGGATATTTTTCAACATTTTGTTGAGATAAAGTGGGAGGAAGAGAGAGAGAGAGAGAGAGAAACATCGACGTGAAAGGGACACATCGAGTGGCTGCCACCCACACGACCCAACCAGGGCCGGGGACAAACTGCAACCGAGGTACATGCCCTTAGCAGGAACTGAACCCGGGTCTCTCCGGACCACAGGCCGATGATCTAACCGCTGAGCCAAACCGGCCAGGACTGCCTGTCCATTTTGCCCAGTGCCCACCTGAGCCCTCTGCTGCCCAGTTTGCTCACAACCCTTCAACTGCAAAGTAGTTGGGTGTAGAATGTTCTCCCTTCATTCACAGATTGGGAGCAGGTACTGTGTTTACATATGCCTGTAATATACATATGCCCACACATGCACATTTTCATAAACATTCTGTGGAAGGATACATAGTAGATAGGTCACATTGGTGCCTTCTGGGCCAGGGAGTAGGGTTGGCAGAAGAGAGACTGTTTATTGTATATTCTTTTAAGTTTCCTGAACTTTGAACCATGTGGTTTCACTACTTGTTAAGAAAAAATATTCTCAAAAATACTATCTTTTTTAAAATTTTTATCCTCACCTGAGGACATTTTTGTCATTTTTTGTTCAGATAGAGCGGGAGGGAGAGAGAGAGAGAGAAACATCGATGTGAAGGGACACATCGAGTGGCTGCCACCTGCACAACCAACCAGGGCTGGGGACAAACAGCAACTGAGGTACGAGCCCTTAGCGGGAACCGAACCCGGGTCTCTCTGGACCGCAGGCCAACGCTCTAACTGCTGAGCCAAACCGGTCAGGGCCAAAATACTGTGTTTCTTGCCTTTCCTTCCCAGAGGCAAGCATGGATAAACAGATGGACATTCTTCTTCATGTGGGCCATGCTGCGTCCTCTTCCAACTATATTGTCTGACAAAGTCTGGATATGGAGAAGAAAGCTTCAAGGAATGCATCTTCTAGGAAGAGGACGTAGCATGGGGGTGGGATTAATCAGTATTATGGGAATTATAATATTGGGAATTATTATTCTACTATATGACTAACGTGGGAGTAACAAATGGTATCTGAAATCATGCCTCTTCAATTAAATTCTGAAGAAACTCCAGCTTCCCCTGAAACAGTCACCACTGCATGTCCAGACTTTCTTAATAATTTACTAATTCAACTAGGTAAAAATTTTTCCCCGAAAGTCCCTAATAAACAATTCATGGATGAATTATAACAGGTAGAACTAATGGAGGTACCTTATACTCCTGTGCCTCCTCCCCAGATAGAGTATTTCAAGAGAATAAAAGAAAATTGTATCGACCCCTACCCACTGTTCAAGAGTTTCCTTATAAAGCTAATTGGGTAAAAGGAAAACTATGGTACCCACCTAGAGGGGCTAGAAGTATACAAAGGATTTCTGACCCTCCCTTGCCCTTTACAGGAGCATATAATGAAGATAGAATAAGAATAGTTAACAAAGATGGGCTACATGTTCCTTACGCAAGCTTGCCTTCATGGAATGATTGACATGCCAAGGTCCCCCTTGGTGTTTACACACATAGGAACAAAAGAAATCTCAATCATTGCAATTGAATAGGTTTTATAAGAAATGTCCTGAGTTATTTAGGGAGGTAAATAAAAAACTAGCTGATCTAAAAACCCAGAACTTGATTTTAAATAAAGGTCAACTATTAATCTCAAAGGGCCTATAGAAAACTCTGTCTCACCTTACAGGTTACTCCCTTCTTTGTATCTATAAACACAAAAAGTTATAAATTAATTCTGATAAAAAATGAAACTAACATTCTGGTACTATGGAATGTAATTCCCTGCTTCTTTAACCTCAAATGTTAAATTTATGCCAAAAAAGAAAATATATAAGCACATAGAAATTTGCAATAAATCGGAACAGTGTCACACTTCCTCCAAGTCGTATAGTCATCTGTCTCCCAGCACCAACGCCTTACCACCTTCGGATCCTGCTGCAGCTGGACTGCGGCAGGGCCAGTGATGTGTTTGTGTTGTAGGACCTTGCTGTGCTGCTGAGCTTCAGCTTCCTTTTTTTTATCCTCACCCGAGGACATTTTTCGATATTTTGTTCAGATAGAGTGGGAGGGGGAGAGAGAGAGAGAAACATCGACGTGAAAGGGACACATCGAGTGGTTGCCACCCACATGACCTAACCAGGGCCGGGGACAAACTGCAATCGAGGTACATGCCCTTAGCGGGAACCGAACCTGGGTCTCTCTGGACCGCAGGCCGACGCTCTAACTGCTGAGCCAAACCGGCCAGGGTTCAGCTTCCTTTTTCCCTCTTATTTTTTACCATCTCTTTAGTATTCTGTCATGTGGCTACAGCATAATTTACATTCTTCTTGTCCCTAGCCAGTGGGCATGTAGGGTAATCACAGCTTTTCATTATTCCAAACAACTGTAGCATAAATTCCTAGAGATAGAATAGTTGGGGTAACTAGGTCTTTTTATGGATAACGCCCCATTGTTCTCTAGAAAGGGTGTATACCACTAACAGTGGTATTCGTGTCTTCGTTCCCTCATACACATTTGCCCATATGATGACAGGAAAATGATATTTGTTCTGACTTACACTTTTTTTTGGTGGGTTTGAGTATCATTTTGTGTTTATTGACCCCTCAGTAGGCCTTGGGAGAATTGCCCATTGCTCTGCAGGTTGTTTGCCTTTTCTTTTTGAGAGCTCTTTACAGATCAAGGGTGGTCGTCCTTTGTCTGACAGATGTGCTGACACTCATGCTCTCTCTTACCCTTGTAGTGGTTGGCTGGCAGCGATTGGGTTCTTCCAGACCAGTGTCGGGGCTGCCGTGATCATGCTGTTTCCAGCCATCTTGTTCACAATGTCAGCTGCTATGATGGCCATTGTGATCATAAAGGTAAGTCCTCTGGGTCCTGAGACATCTAGCTTCTTCCAGTGCATCCTGTCACCTGACATTCCTAGCCCTGGGGACTCGTTTTATCCCCTTTTCAGGAGCAAGAGACAGTGTCCGGGAAGTGATGTGATTTCCATCAGCAGGGAAGTCCCTCTCAGAATCTGGACCCTTAACTGCTCAGCTCAAGACCCCACCTATCCTGCTCACAGGGGCCTTCCAAGGAGGAAAGATTTAGGGAAATGGCATGGTGTGGACTGCTGTTGACTACACCTTCCTTTGGGGGTGCTCCCAGGACACACAGGTCCCAAAGTATTGTCCATGTTACGCTGCTCTAGCTGTCCACACTGGTTATGTGTTGCCCTTTATAGCTAAATTCAAATTAAGTAAAAGGAAATAAAACTTAATATTCTGTGTGTCCATCGTGCCCAGCTCATCCCATGTGCTCAGTGGCTGCATGGGGCTGGTGGCTCACATCAACTGTATGCAGCATTATGGAAAACTCCCCTGGATTGCACCGCTCCTGTATGTGGGAACTTCCAATGAGAAACATTTTCACTGTAGTCCTGGAGGCATTGGCCTATCCAGGCTTGTCCCGGAACCATGTGAAGGTTGACAGGTGATGACAAGGTTGACAGTGTGTCCGCCTTAGCCCTCCTGGAGGTGGCCATCTGTGCTATTTGCACAGGGACGCTGCTCAGGAAGGCTGGCCATGTGCTGGGCTGCAGGATTACCACGATTTTTAGAACTGGGTTTAGAGTCCCTCCTAGCCTTCTTTCCACATGGTTCTAGCACACTTAAAGGCTGGGCTGTTTAATTGGTTCATTTGGCTGTCAGTGAGGAAAAAAAATGCTTGGCTCCCCCATTTGCGGCACAACATCTTTTTAGCTATATGGATAGTCTGAAGGGTAAAAATCAACCCTAATTATGAATGTACTTAGAGATACCACAAATGAGTCTTGGCAAGATTCCGGGGTGAGATCCACGGGGAAACTGAGGATGCATCCACCAGGAACTTTTGCTTAGCAGCAAACATAAAACAAGAAATACAAGCCAGGAAAAATACCTGCACGGTACAAGAGAGAGAAAGGGTTTAAGGGGCTCAAAGCAGAGTGAGTTTCCCCAAAACAAAGATACAGATGACTCCCTCTGTTGTGGTCCCCAGGGCCACCCCAGGTTTGGAGATTTGTTGGGAAGACAGTTGCACAAAAGAAGAAAGGTACATTCCCATGCAAACGACAAAACTGTTCACTTTCACTAGTAATCAAGAGCCTCATGTTAAACAAAGTGCTATTTTCTTGGTTATTGAATTTGCCAGGATTTCTAGAAATAGTATAGCCAGGTGTTCCCAGAGGCGCAGCCGGGGGGCAGGGTTGGCATAGCTTTTCTGAATGGTGGGGAGTCAGTGGTCTGTCCCCAGGGGTCTCTGCTGAGAAGATCACTGCTAGCACCAGGGATGGCTTTGTGTGATTTGCAGGGTCTAGGGCCTGACGCTCCCAGGTTGGGAGGCCATTAAGTGATTGTCATACAAGTTTCTTGTGGGGTTTTCCATGCTAAGTACTGCCCATGAGTACCCAGAGCCATCCTTGAGGCACTGGGTGTCAGGTGGGGGCAGTCCATAGGGAGAGACAAGCCCCAAATCTGTGACAGGACAAGCTTCTCTCCATGAGAGATGTGCTCTGGGCTTCACAGGGCAACAGAGGTTGGCACCAAGAGGCACCAGGGGTTGTGGCTCAGGGCTGGGTCTTCTGAGTTCACGATCTTGGATTCTATACATTTTCTTTTTTTTTTAATCCTCATATATTTTTTCCCATATATCTACAGATAGAGTGGGAAGGAAAGAGGGAGAGAGAGAAACATTGATGTGAAAGAAACACATCGACTGGATGCCTCTTGCACGACCCCGACCAGAGCTGGGGACTGAACTGCAACCAAAGTACGTGCCCTTGACTGGAATTGAACCTGTGACTCTGGGCACAGGCTGACGTTCTAACCACGGAGCCAAACTGGCCAGGGTAGATTCTAAATATTTTCTAACATTTCCACAAAGACCATTCTGTGGCTTTTATAATTCCTTTAAGAAAATCATAACTTTACCCAGCCAGTGTGGCTCAGTGGATTGAATGTCATCTATAGTTCAATTCCGGGTCAGGGCACATGCCCAGGTTGTGGGCCCAATCCCCAGTGGGGGACATGCAGGAGGCAGCCGATCAGTGTTCTCTCTCATCGATGTTTCTATCCCTCTTTCCCTCTTCTTTCCCCTCTCTCTCTAAAAATCAATAAAGAAAGAGAAAAGCACTTTAAATGTGAGAAACCTCCACACCACTCACAGAAGTACTGATCTCTGTTCTCTGCTACCACCCTCTGCCCTGCAGGTACACAGGATCTACCGGGGAACTGGTGGAAGCTTCCAGAAGGCACAGACAGAGTGGAGCAATGGCACTTGGCGGAACCCTCTGTCTCGGGAGGCCCAGTTCAACAACTTCTCAGGGAACAGCCTGCCTGAGTACCCCACTGTGCCCACCTATCCGGCCAGTGGCAGCCAGTGGCCTTAGAGGGAGCTGATTGGCCTTACCACTCGCCTGCCACCTCCAGCCCTCCTCCTCCTTCCCATCCACTCCTACAGCCATGCTGGGTCTGATGAGGCCCTAAGCATCTGTCCCCTGTCCCTCTCAGGTAGGGCGACAGCAGGGGTTGGTGGCCACCAGGAGCTCCCCAGGTGGGACGCAGACCCCAGCAGCTCTTTGGCACTGTGCCCATCTCACATCCAAGAGCAGAGGTCCTTGCAAGTACTGCCCAGAAACTACTGGCCCCACCAGCCAGCAGAAGGACCCCCTCTTGCTCCTGAAAAGTTTTGGTCACGTAATGTCCAGTGCAGCAGCCACACCCTCTCCCCTTGGGGTCTGAGAGGGCTGACTTCTTTGGGCCTCCTTAGGAAGTCAGAAGCAGGCTGGCCGCCCTCTCTCCCAGAGCTGGTGACACTAAGAAGGGCTTCTGAAATCCACCTCACCCCTGTCAGGGCCATCACCCTCACCCAGTACCCAGGAAGAGGAAGGCCTTCTCAACACCAGGTTCCTTTTTTTTTTTTTTTTTTTATCCTCACCCAAGGACATTTTTTCTATTTTTTGTTCAGATAGAGTGTGGGAGGGAGAGAGAGAGAAACATCAACGTGAAAGGGACACATCGAGTGGTTGCCACCCACAGGACCCAACCAGGGCCGGGGACAAACTGCAACCGAGGTATGTGCCCTTAGCGGGAACCAAACCCGGGTCTCTCAGGACCGCAGGCCGACGCTCTAACCGCTGATCCAAACCGGCCAGGGCACCAGGTTCCTTTTCTCTGCTGGTAATGCGGGCACTTGATGTACAACTAGGTGCTCAACATTTTTGTCCTGAATTTGTCCGTCTGTAGCCAGGGGCTCACCAGGATGGCTAGAGGCTAGTTCACCGTCTGGGTGCCATGTTTATCTGTCCCAGTTGCTCCACACTGGGTCTTCAGCCGCTGTGCAGGGCCATTGGGCAGCTTGCATCCAGCCTTCCTGTCCACGGTCACTCTTCCCCACAGATTCTCTCTTCTCCCATAATGGGTGTTAGAACCCCAATACTTAGGCTGGTTGCACCTGTGCAGGGAACCTCAGCAGGATGTTCATCTAGATCTGAAACCTGGGATGGAATCCTTTGATGGGGGTGTCAGCTTCTCCCCCAACCGTGCAAACAGGAAAACAGATGCATCTCATCAGAGTGAATGTGGCCCTGAGGTCATCATCATCCCAAGGTGCGAGTGATCCACACTGCTGTTTTCTGGGTATGTGGAAGCAGATCACAGGAGAATAGCCTTTTAGGAGGAAACAAGATGTGACAAATCTCCGTGCCTTGCTGAGGAATCTAAACACCGTCACTTCTTTTCTCTCCTCAATTCTTCTAGCTCCTTCTGAGTTGGAGGAACTAGATGTCGGTTGGGCATCACCATAGCACCTTTGTGAATGGACTGGCCAAGGGAGGTGTCCTGATGGCCTCTCAGCCTGTTGGCCAGGCTTCCAGTAATGCTACCCCTTGGCTCCTGACTGCCAGTCCCTGGGGGCAGGCAGGGATCCATTCCTGTCACACCATGCTCTGCTGGACTACTAGTCTCTCCAGAAGCTCCAGCATAGCCAAATGTGTTCTCACACCTGTGTTTGCTTGCTTTGGTTTCTTGTGCTGAATGCCACATGATATTCAATCCCTGAGGAAGCACCTGGTCCTGGGTCCCTGAAGGGCAAGGCCTCCTGGACAGAAAACAAAAGCCTTGGGTTTCCTGGGTTCTCAGTAACATCCTCAAGCCAGCTTCCTGTGACTGACAGGGGGCCCACATTGTGTGAATTGTGGACTGAATCTCATCCTGACTAGGATGCTGTTAGTAACAGCTGGTTAACCAAGTGAACACCTGTAAGCACTGCCCCCCCCACCCCGTACTTTGCACCTTTGTTACATGGTAGTAGTTTTTGTTCCATTATGTTACTTTATACTGTAGTAGTTTTTGTTACTTAAAAATTTTCTGGAAATAAATACATTCTTTCTATAGCAGACCAAGCCTCCCAGGGGCTAGGGGTGTATGTGTGTGTGGTTTTTCCTCCAGCTGAGCCTTCCTCCTATCAAGTATCCCAATGTGTATGGCCTCAGGCAGAATAACACTAGGATCAGTCTCTGCACCTGGACCTGGGTTTCTGGGTTTCACTGATGGGCAGACCCTGCCCTCCAGGCACCAAACCTCTTTGTGCACCAAGGATGGAGCCCAGTTAAGCCCAGCACTGCACCCTCCAGGTATCTTTGCCCTAATGTCCACACACCACTGTAATGTGGTTTCCGTCAGGTTTTTCTTTTAAATCAACTTGTTTTTTCCATGTTCAACAGTTTTCATTTGAAAAAGGAAACAGAAAATGAAAAACCAGTTTGCTTATCATAAAGGAGAAATAATGGTGGATGTAGTTGGACTAGAAGCGACTGTCTTATAGAGACCCAGGTGGAGGACCTCCCCCCAACCCTGGGGCATGCAGGGGCCTGCTGGTGGCAGAGTGGACACCCACATGCAGACACAGTACAGAGTGTGGCAAATCTGTTATTCCATAAGACACTTTGCTATCATGGAAGGAAACTAGACCTACAGATAGGAACTGGACACTTGTCCTCCCAAATTCACAAGTGGAAGTCCTACCCTCTGGGACCTCAGAATGGATCGTTTTTGGAAAATAAGGTCTTCGCAGGTGGAATTAGTTAAGGTGAGGTAGCCCTAATCCAAGTCAACTGTGTCTTTGTATAAAGGGGACTTTGGACAGACATGAAGGTACCTTGTGAAGATGGAGGCAGAGATTGTGGTGATACGTCTATGAGCCAAGGACACCAAGGATACCAGTGCCACCAGAAACTGGGAGAGATGAGAGTAACAGGAAATGTCAGGAAGAGACGGAGACTGGGGAGCACTGTGCTTTAGGGCCATGTCCACTGGCATATGGAACATGGATTGGGTGGACATGCCTTGAGGACTGAGAGCGGATGTTCCCCAGCTGGGCAGGGGGTGGGCTTGGTGATAGGGCAAAGCAGAAAAAGAAGGAACTGGGAAAGTGAGAAACAGGTGGAGGGCCAAGGAGGTGGAGGGCACCAGCCTAGAGACAGGTAAGGACACAGGACATGAAGTTGAGAGGATTGAGGACAGTTGAGAAGGGGCCATTGGCAGGGGTGGCAGTGACAGGACCACAGACAGGTGGCTTAAACTGCAGGGATTTATCCTCTCGTTCTTGGGCCAGAAGTTCAAACCCAGCTGTCCCAGGGCTGAACTCCCTCCAGAGGCTCCAGAGAGGGTCTTTCCTGCCTCTTCCAGCTTCTGGGGGCTCTAGCATCCCTAATATTGGGGCTACATCACCCCAGTCTCTGACACTATTATCATCTTTATTAATTTTTTTATTTTTGTATTTATTTTTGTGGTACGTGCTCCTAGCGGGAACCGAACCTGGGACTCTGGTCCGCAGGCCAACGCTCAACTGCTGAGCCAAACTGGCCAGGGCCTCACCATCTTTATTTGTCTCTCTTTTTCTTACAAGGACACCATCGTTGGACTTGGGCCTCCCTGATCCAGTATGATCTCATCTCAAAATTCTTACATCTGCAAAGACCCTGTTTTCCAAATAAAGTTCCATTCACAGGTTCCAGGGTGTATACATGCCTCTGAGGTCACCATTCCGTACCTGTAGGGGAACCACAGGCTTTGAAGCAGGAGAAAAGTAGAAGGTATCCCACGGCTGGAGCATCTGCTGGCTGCCAGGCCCTGATGAGGCTGCACAAAGGGGGTTGGTAGTGGGGGACATTGTCCTTGGGCCAGGACAAGAGCTGTGTTCATGGTGCAGTGGGCGCAAAGCCCAAGGGTGCCTCAGGTAAGGGCAGGAGGAGGAGGTTTGGAGATGCCTGGGGGAGGGATGGGCTGAGAGGACTCCTCAGCAGAATCCAGAAAGAGGCACTAATGGTGTCCAGGTATGGGGACAGGTCACACCTACTGGCAGGAGGCTGGTGGACCAGGAGGTCCCGCTACTAGTGGTTAATTTCTATTGCCAGCTTTTTGTGAGTTTTCTTTTAGTTCAGGTTCCTCGTCAGCTATTGGAGCCGGGTCATTCTCTGGGGGCCTACCTGGGCATTGTGAGGTGTGGTGCAGCATCCCTGGCCCCACCCATTCCACCCTCAGTAATAACAACCACAGGTGCCCCAGACATCTCCCAGAGTTCCCTAGGGGGCATGATTGCCCTGGGTGAGACCCCTGCTTTAGCTACAAGATTTGACCTGGCAAGATTGTTAGTGCAAATCAAGAGCAGCAACTGAGTTGGGAAAAGTGATAGAGTTGTGTTTTTTTTTTAAATCTGATTGAGAGATAATGTAATAGATAAAGCATCAATCCAGAAGTGATTTTCAGTGTGGGAGGGGTGATTTGGTGTTTGATGCTCCATCAACCCAGACTCAGGGCCTGGGGTCTGGGCAGGAGGAAAGGCTACAGTATGAATGGTGCATCCTGTATTAGTGCCTGGGATAGTAACAGAGGACCTGAAAGTGGGTGGCTTTACCATGAATTTACACTTTCACATTCTGGAGACCAGACATCCTGGATTAAGATGTCCCAGGCCTATGCTCCCTCTGAGAGCTCTAGGGGAAGGTCCTTCCTGTCTCCCAAATACTAATATTTTATTGTATTAGCATTCAAGACAGAAAATTTAAAAACATTTGTTAATGTGACTTAAAAATAAATTCATTGTCAGGCCAGCGTGGCTCAGTGGTTGAGCGTCGACCCATGCACCAAGAGGTCACCAGTTTGATTCCTGGTCAGGACACATGCCCGGGGTTGTGGGCTCAGTCCCCGGTGGGGGGCATGCAGGAGGTGACCAATCGATGTTCTCTCTCATCAATGTCTCTATCTTTCTCTCCCTCTCATTTCCTCTCTCTGTAAAATCAATAAAGAAAAACATGTTTTTTAAAAATAAATAAATTATATTTTAACAATTTTTTTTTTTATCCTCACCCAAGGACATTTTTTCATTTTTTGTTCAGATAGAGTGGAAGGGAGAGAGGGGAAGAGAGAGAGAGAAACATCGACGGGAAAGGGACACATCCGAGTGGTTGCCATCTGCACGACCCAACCAGGTCCGGGGACAAACTGCAACCGAGGTACATGCCCTTAGCAGGAACCGAACCCAGGTCTCTCTGGACTGCAGGCCGATGCTCTAACTACTGAACCAAACTGGCCAGGGCATATTTTAACATTTAAAATCCACTTAAAAAAAAGACTAGTGGCATAGTTTTCATTTTGCAAATCTCTAACCTCTGGCTTCACAGAGGAAGACAGCTGCATCCTCCGGTTGGCTGCTGCATTCACTCCATTGCAACAAGATAGAGACTGAGGGCGAGGTTTATCTGGAGGGTGAAAGGCAGGAGTCAGTGGAGGCCGTAAATAAGCAGGTCACAGCTGTGGGCAGTCTGGGCTCAGTTTCTCTGGACCCTTTGGGAGACACTGAGACTCTGTCTCAGGTTGTCTTGCCAAGGGTGGGGGACCT